ATACAGCATTTTTGGGCTCCCAATATCCCACCCCCTTCACCAATATTGCTGTGCATAGCGGGCTGCTTTTTGCTCAGTTTTGCCTCCCCAGCCCCCAGGAGTACTCTATAAGCCTCCTAAAGGCTATGCATGCCCTTTTTTGACAAAAAATGGGCTAGTTTTTGCAAAAAACAGACCATTTTTGCTCATTTCTGGCCCCACCCCAGCCCCCAGGAGCACTCTACAAGCCTCCTAAAGGCTATTCATGCCCTTTTTTTTGGAAAAAAAGGGGGGGCATTTTTGCAAAAAACGGTCTGTTTTGGGGAGGTCTACAGAGTGCAAAAACTTTTTTTTAATTTGCTTTTTCAAAATCTTGGTGCATCTTATACTCTGAAAAATATGGTATGTTCCTATTATAAAAAGGCCCTCCACACCTCTGTCATCTCACAAGATTGTTGAGTTTGGAAAAATAGCTTAATTCATTTCTGGATAACCTGCAATGTAACCCACATTGTCAAGGGGAGAGCAGGAGAGGGAGTTACCTTATCTCCATTTTTGAAAATGTGGAGCGTTGCAGGTGGCTCATTCTCCATTCAGAAGGGTTGCCTCACCTTCGTTCCCACCTTCTGAGCTTTGGCTCCTCAGATAACTCCTGTAAGAGTTGTCAGGTTTTCTTACTCTAGTTGGAAGGAAAATAGAACAGAAAATAGAAGAGTTTAGAAGTACTTTTGTACAAAGAGTTCCAATACTTGCAGGCTAAAAGGGCATCCTTTTACAGGTAGTTCTTGCTTAACAATCCTAACTGGGACGAGCAACTCCATCATAATACATTTATCTTCACTTAATCAAGTGAAAGGGATGCAGTGGCTCAGTGGCTAAGCCGCTGAGCTTGACAATCAAAAGTTCGGCAGTTCAGCAGTTTGAATCCCTAGTGTTGCATAATGGAGTGAGCTCCCATTATTTGTCTCAGCTTCTGCCAAACTTGCAGTTCAAAAGGAGGTAAAAATGCAAGTAGAAAAATAGGAACCACCTTTGGTGGGAAGGTAACAACGTTCCATGCGCCTTCGGCATTTAGTCATGCCAGCCACATGACCACGGAGACGTCTTTGGACAGCGCTGGCTCTTCAGCTTTGAAATGGAGATGAGCACTGCCCCTTAGAGTCGGGAATGACTAGCACATATGTGCAAGGGGAACCTTTACCTTTTTAATCAAGTGAAGCAGTTAAGCAAAACATCGCATGACCACACATAACCACTGTGGCAAGAAGAGGTCGCATAATAGGACAAGACTCACTTAACAAGTGTCTCAGTTAACAATGGAAATTTGGCCACTCCATTGTGGTCGCAAGTCAAGGACTACCTGTAATAAGGAAAGAGCTGTTGGGTGGTAAGGAAATGGAGTCCACTTGTGGGAATATTGTATAGGATGAAACTCCCACGGAGCAAAACGGGAAGTGGCCAAAATTAATGCTGGGAAATTCTAAGAGGAGCTGGTAAGCAAGGCAACCTGCTAAACAAGAAATAAGTTTGAAAATTCTACAAACATCTGGTGTTTCTCTGGTGATTCATTCAAGAAAGCCTCTCCACCAACTTGCTGGCTCGCAAATTTGGAATTCAGGTAAGATCTCTGTTTACGTGACTGTTTCCATCTGAAATAATCTTGAGATGATTGTAAAAACTATGGCATTTATCAGCAAGCTTCCCAGCATATTTTGGAGATGAAAGGCTGTTCCAGTTGGCTTGGTATAATACGGCTTCAAGTGGGGTTTGGCCTTTTGTTTACGTTTTGTCTATGTTGGCTTGTGATTCACTGGATTTGCCTATCAGTGTTTATCCTTGTCTGTGATTCACACACCTTCCCTCTTGTGAGCCTCTATGCTTCGATTTGCACACGCAGCGGAAGTGAGTAGCGTATGTGTTTTCCTTGTGCTGTGGGTGTGTATATCGGAGCCTGAAATAGTACTTGGTTAGTGTCATTTCAAGATCGAAGTCTCATAATGGGCCACGGTGATTAGTAGTAGCAAAAAGCACATGTTTGCATAAGTAATGGGAAATCATTTGGGCTTGAAGTATTGAAAATTCAGAATATGCCGAATTTAGCTCTGCTGGGGTGTGCGTCTCTCTCACACTCACAGACGCACACTCAAACAAAAGAGAAACAATGCTTTGCACTGTCATTTATTTTTAAAAATTCAGTCCAGTCGTGTGTGATCCCCAGATTCTCACATCATGCATGTGATCTGCCACACGCCACTTACCTAAAGGAAGAACCCTCTTTCTGTTGATAGCTCTGAGTCACACAGGCCATTCCTTCTTGAAGCAGCTTCACAGAGAGCTGTTCTGTAGTTTCCCCAGTCTCTGAAAACCACGTGAGAATGCCATGCTCACATGATTTTGGTCTGGAGGTTGCACGAGAGCATGGCCCTCTCCCATGTTTTCTGGAGGACACACGAGATCCACCCCATCCTCACACAATCTCCACAGCCTCCAAAAAATCACACAAGAACACGGTGTGGTTTTGAGAATAGTTGGGTGTTGGTGAGCACTGGCGTGTCACACAAAATGTTGTAATGTGACACCTTTGAGACTCGCGTCATGGGTTTGCCATCCCTGTCATAAGCTGTTTTTCTGATATGTGCAGTGAAAAGCTGGTTCAATTTGAGCCACTTCCTCAATGAACATTGACACTCTTAGTTTTGAAAAATTGAATTCTTTAGACAAGGAACTTTCCATATTCTGGCTGAGAAGAGCCAGGATTGCAGATTTATTTGGAAAGAGCCCATCTTCTGAATTCGGATGCATCCAAACTACTCAACCATGGGCTTTTGGGTGGGGAGCCCTCACTGTGGACATTTGCATTGCACTCATGTCAGAGACACCAAGGCACTTCCGGTTTGAAAGGGTTATCCAGTGACATCATCGTTGCCTGGAGGATGCCCACTGGAGGCTCCTTTCATGTCCTACAGCAGGGATGTCAAACTCAAGGCCTGCAGGCCGGATCTGGCTTATGGGTTGCTTAGATCTGGCCCATAGGACTGGCCTGGAAACAGTGAAGGACCGGCCCCCAGTGCCTCTGCCAGTGAAAACAGAGCTCGGGAGGGCCATGTGCAGCTCTCCCAAGCTCAGTTTTCACTGGCAGAGGATTGCAGGAGGCTGTCGCAGCTGAAAATGGAGCTCGGGAGCCCGTTTTCTCTGGCAGAGTGCTCTGGCCACCACAGGCACCCCTGATATGAGTGATGTTGAGCTGGCCACACCCACCCTGGCCATGCCCGCCCCCCACACCTCCCAAGGTCAAAACACAACCCGGATGCGGCCCTCAATGAAATTGGGTTTGACACCCCTATCCTACAGCAAGAGCTGGAGCAAAGGACAGGAGCTCGCCCCATCTCACATCAGTACTCAGGTCTCGAACATGAACTTGCTGCTTGTCAAGCCAGCATCCTAACCACATGAGCCACCATGCTCCTATCAATGAACATTGTGCAGCCGTTTTACTTTTCTCTTCCTAAATATGGAGAAAGTTATGGGAAAAGCCACGAGGTCATGGTATCATAAGTTATCATGAATGATAATGATAATGAGCCAAAGGATGAATGGTAATGTCTGGATTCCTTGTATCAAATGCTATGAAGAAACCCGGGATGATTTTTGTAATAAAAATCCTGGTCTGGAAACCCTTGAGGGTTACTTTGAAGTTGTGTAGAAAATGGGAGGCAATCAAGAGTTTATTTGCGTGATTTCTACTGGATGCTCCAGCAATAAACGTCTACCTTCAGTCCAGCAAATGAAGAGTCACAGAGTCTTCTTAAGGGTAGGGGAGAAAACTCAGATGCCTGCAGAAATGAAGGCCGGCAGGAAACGATTTGTTGTTCCCGAATTTTAGTGAAAGTTGTGCAGTGCCACAGAAAACAGAAATGCAAGTCAGATCAATGATATCTTCAGAGATTGAGTTGCTGTACTAAGAGTGGCCAGTTTCAAAACAGCTGCTGGAAGCTTAAAGTGGTTAATAGTCCTGCTTCACATGGGATCATGTACAACTTTAGTCCTACCTGCCAGTTGGGAAAACCATGATAATTCATCATTTTAGTTCAACAAAATGGCTTCCGAAATAGTTTTTGTCCCTTGGTCCTCCTCGCCTTCTGCTGGTGGTTCCTAGAAAGCAAACTAGAAGTATTTGGTCTGATGCCTTAGTTGGAACTCACAAGTCTGTACTCTTGAGATCCCTTCTCCAAGCTAACCTCTTGCATTTCATCCCCAATCAAAAGAGATCCCCAATCAGGTCAGATCAATTTGCTGGTCTGATGAGATGGAGTGATCTTTTCATCATCCAAGAATTCTTGGCATTTGAGGCACCTTCTTCCTGGATCCCAACCCTCTCTCTATTCTCATCACCCATAGCAAAATTGTCCTCCTCAGTCAGCCATCTTTTGAAGATTATCCAGAAGTGTTAGAACCAGGGGGTGGGATTCAGCCAGTTCATACCGGATCGGGCGAACCGGTAGCTCCAACAATCAGCTGGGGAGTGAATCAGTTTGCTCCGACGATCAGGTTGGTCCGTCTACCTGCCCCTGCCCTTAATTTACCTATATCCTCTCAGCTGATTCGCGTGGCAGAGAAGATTGCCACGCCTCAGCTGTGTTACTCCCCAGAAGTAATGTGGAAGGTAAGTTTTGTTAAAAGTGCTGACGCACGGAAAGCACGCAGTCATCAAACCGGTTGTTCAATCACCAGGATCCCACCACTAGTTAGAACGATGGTTTATCTTGAATCACCTGATACGTTCCTCTCTGGCTTCTACTAGATTTTAATGCTGTTCCTTCTGGCAGTCTTCTTCCCATAACGGTATGCCAACCTGTACCTTAGCTTCTTCTTCATTTGGCTGTTTCTGATAGCTGTTGTAAGAGTATGGCCTCTTTCCTGCATGTCCCGCCAATGGATTATTTAAGAATAACTTTATTCTTTTTTTTAATGAGTGTTCTCTCTTATCTTTTTAATTTTTTCCCTTCCCTGTCTCATTTCAGAAAAAGTTCAGCCGGCCAGAATGCGTCCTCCTGGCTTGAAATATCGCCTGAAGAAGCGCACAAAATCCTAAGAATGAACTTGGCTCCCCTTCTGTTTGTTTCTCAGGAACTCCAGAGGAACCAAATTGCCGGCGTTCCTCCTCCTTCTCCCCCCACGCACAGCGAGCGCCTCCTTCTCTTTGCTCCGTGTTAAAAGCGTGGAGCGTTTACGATCGAGAGAAGGGGCCAGCATGTTCCACACTCTCTGCCAGCGCTCCTCAAAGTCTTACTTGACTGAACTGATAGTTATTTTTAAAATAATTAATTAATTAATGCCCTGATGCGTTTTAATTTCTCTGGGTTTTTTTTTCATGAGACCAGCTGATTTCATGTTGCATTTTTATTGTGTCTGTGACATTTTACTGTTGCTAAGTAAAGAAGAATGCCATGTCCTGTCCCCTTTTCTGCATCTCCTTGTTGTCGCTGTGTCTGTTTTTAAACTCAGTCCTCTGTGTTCAGTAAGCAGGTAATGGTTATGCCCATTCTAGATTTAAATGCGACTTCGGCTGTTCGTTGGCTCGAATTGTTGGGGGTGGTTCGGCTTTCTCTTAAACGTTCTCCTCTTTTGGCTGAATGCGGACGTTGCTGGTTATAGATTCATTTCCAGATCAGCCTCATGGTTGGCTAAGCGTGTGAGACGCCTGTGAGTTTTGTAGCTTACTTTTGCATCGAAAAGTCAAATTTGGGCCAGTGCAACCGCAGCAGTTCCGGAGACGCAGCCTAAGAATAGTAACCACTGTTTATTTTGGAAATGATGCACACTAAGATGAAGAGACACAAACAGCGATAAGAGAAACTCACTTTATAGCACTATCAGACTCGAGGGCCAGGGAGAAGGTTAGGCTGAAGACTTCTTGACAATTTGATTATTATCTGCAAATAATTTGTAAATGCACTGGGGAAATTCAAGCGCATAATACACCTAGACTAATAAAAGAGAAAAACAACTTATTTTATTCTGCTTAATGAATAAACTAGCTCCATGTTCCCCTGAGTTCCACTCTCGTACTAAAGAGGCTGCAGAGAAGGTGGTAAGAAATAGATCTTAAGAAAGGAATTCAGATAAGGGGAAATTGTCTTGTTCTTTTCATTTCCGAACTGATGTGGGTAGAGTTGAGTGGCCCGCTGTGATCATGTGACTCCTTATAGGGCAGCTTGCTAAGCGATTGATGCTTCTTTCCTAGACAAAGACGAATGTTCGAAGGATAATGGGGGATGCCAGCATGATTGTGAAAACACTTTTGGCAGCTATCAGTGCCAGTGCCGCAGTGGCTTTGTGCTACACGACAACAAGCATGACTGCAAAGAAGGTATGGCACCTTATTTTCTTTGTCAAAAGGGCTCCCACTGGGAGTCTCCAAAGCCGATTTGTCATCATGTTTCACTAAATTCCATATGCAAAAAAGGTTATTTGGGTCAAGTTGTCTACTTATATGGATGCTCTCCAGAGATGGTATTCTACAGGTTTGAACCAGATCGCCCGAACAGGTAGCAGAAATTGGGAGTAGCCCCACCCACCCATCCCATCCCTATGGCATCCCATTTAGGCCCTTTTTAAGCAAAAAGCGCATGCGCAGGAGGCTTAGCATGTGCCAGCACGTCAGTGGTGGGTTCNAGTTACTTTTTTCAGTGCCGTTGTAACTTTGAATTTGCCAACTCCAAAAGCAATCCCTGGCCTGCTCTCGAGTTGCCATAGGCACGGTGGATGGGAAACTGACAGAACAACATGGCAGCTGCAAACAGAAGCACATTCTGGAATATCTTTTCTCAAGGGTGTCTCCCAGGTTACCCACAGCAGCCGGAGGAGGAGTGATCTCTAAAGCCTGCAAAAGTGCTCCATTGGAGAATGTGATTTATGAGAAAACCTGGAGGGAGCGGGGGAAACAGGACCATAATTGGACCGTAAATTAGGTGGGCTCAGAGTTGGCTTCTAACAACATGTTGCTCCTAATAAATAACTGGATTTCTTTTGAAGCTTGGCTGGAGGCTCATGGTTTAATTAGGGCATCTGTCAGAACCCTGACAAAATTGTCACGAAGTAAATTGTCACGCGATCCCCTTTTGCGACCTATTGACAAGCAAAGTCAAGGAGGAAGCCATAATTCACTTAACAACCGCGTGACTAGTTTAACAACCGCAGCGATTCACTTAACGACTCTGGCAAGAAAAGTCGTAAAACGGGGCAAAGCTCGCTTAACAACCGTCTTGCTTAGCGACAGAAATTTCCGGCTCAATTCTGGTCGTACGTTGAGGACTACCCCTACCTGTATCCTACCTCACTTCCCCGAAGGACAGGAAGCGTACAAAATTGGTAAAAACAGGTACCAGTAATTTTCCCGGAATGCAAAGCGTGCGTCTCACATGGCTTCCGCTTTCCACAAAAATCACATAACCTATTGCCCGCCCGCCACGTGCGGACCGCAGTTCCCATCATCCTCAGCCAGAACTGGTTTTGAGAAAGGTCTGCTGTGCCATTTCCATTGTGTTCTCTTTGCCTTTAGAATTGTTGAGGACTAGAAACTTTTGCCGTCGCTTCCACCAAGACTGCTCAGACTGTGGAATAAATCAGCAGGGCCTCTTGGCTCCCCGAACATTTGCTTTCCTTTTTTTCGGAAGGACTGTTCATCTTATTAAATTTTGCAATCAGTGGTTAAGACAGCCGAGGACTTGAACCCTGTTCCCTGGGCGCCTGCGGAGGCTGTTGGTGCTTAATTGGTTTTTTTTTTTGAAAAGCTCCCTATTCGTTTTAGAAAATTGGTTTAAAAGCAAATTGCTGCTCTTCCAACATAGTTTCAACGCAAAGGAGACACGGAGTGCATAATATTGAAACAGGATATATATATAACAGAATCAAGATCAGGTGAAGGGTTAATATCACTTTATAAGGCTTTGGTAAGGCCACACTTGGAATACGGCATCCAGTTTTGGTCGCCAC